GATTGTATGCAATTTAATGATGAACCTGGCTGTGGGGAAATTGCTGGGGAGTCCTGCTGCTCCCAATACTGCCAACAGACAGCAAGGAGGAAAGAAGCAAGTGATGGCAATTCTTTCTCATCACCACCTATCTCACTGCTTCATGTACACTTCCACTTGGACAGTTTTGGTTTTAAAGAGCAGAAAGGATGAGTTTTGAGGGTGGGTGGTTTTTTGCTACTTGTTGGGGTTTTGTGGTTTCTTGGGGTATTTTTTGTTTTGGTTTGGGTTTCTTTTGGGCTATCTAGTGCCCTAGACAGTTCTGCTCAATGCCTGCTCATGTTATAACATCACTATTTCTCTCTTCCTATAGAGTTCACTAGACTTAGAGATTTATCAAGATTCCATTTGGCTGGAAGCTCATTATGCACTGTTTCCTATAGTTCCCATATAGAACACATTTCAAGCAACAGATAAAAATATCTGTACCACTTTTTGGTTTTCAATTCCTTGATACTGCTGTTTAAAATGAAAAGGAAAAGCTGTGAAAAGTCTCAAGAATTTAGTATTAACCTAGGGAAAAGAAACTCAGTTCTAGAAGCACCAAACAATAAAATAAGCTTCCCAGGTACAGCAAGAGAAGGAAATAAAAGTGTAGAGCTCCAAAGACCAAAAGGAAATAAAGAACGCTTCCATTTTGATCAGGACAGACCAAAGAAACTATACGTATGCTTTTAAAGAGAAAGACTTCATTCTGTTCTGTCCCATCCTCAATACCTGCAAGACACTTTCTCTCAGATCTGCATACAGAACACATTACTTGAATGTTAAAAAGTGACAAGAGAAAATCCTCCTATCCATTCCTGGCCATTTCATATTCAAGCTTATCTCACAGTTAATAAATTCATTTCCATTCTTTACTACCTCCTAAACTAATTATCATTCTTCATTTCCCATTTTCACTCTTTTTACACTTTCTGATTTGTTAGTTCCTAGACCTGCAAATCCCTTTCTCCAGTCATCACTGTCTCAGAAATCACTTTTCCTTCAAACATTTCTCACCCTTCCTCCTATAAGCAGCTGTTCTCTATGTTATTATCTAGCCAGGATTGAGACTGGAGACTCTACAGTGCAAAGAACAGGTCTTATTTATGTTTGTGAATCCTTGTCTAACTTTATGCTGCTGTGTAAATGTTTAATAGGTACTAATGCATTTGCTGGAACAACCTGCGTTGCTAATACTCAGTGGACTGTTCGGATACAATCCCTGCTGAGTGTCAGAAGCTTCTGGAATAAAACAAAATGCAGTTTTTTGGTGACACTGCAGTTTCAAAGCTAAAGGAGCCAACAGCTGAAGTAGTCTAACAAACCATGCTAGTACCGGAAATGGCCTTATCTACTCTTTCCACGTTTGAAACAGGATAGAGCTGGAAAGCCAAGCACTGTGGATGTGAGTTCGCATTCAGCTACAGCCACTGTACCTTATCTCCTCTATGTTATCTATCTCCAGACCTCCAAGGTCACATTTTAAACAAATATTTCCTATCTTCGCTCTCTCCTTAATGTTGGCTGAAGAGAATAGAATGGTCTTGTCCTCTTTTCACACTGGTATTGGCATGATTTTCCTGTGGGCTTGACTGTATCATGTCCTGTGTAGAATTAATTGTGAAATAGAAACCCCAGTGGCAGATCAGATGCATAGTTTTTACTTCAGGCACCAAATAAGAGCTGAGTGATTCATCAGCACAAGCACACCACGCAAGAAGCAACTGCTCAAGCAAACAGGGAATGAATGATGTCTTGGCCTCAGAGCCAATGAACAGTGATGCTAACATGGAAAATGCAACAAGGACAGCAGGAGTGTCAGGCCTATGTGTCATCAAGTCTCATGCTAAAACTCACAGAGGCAAACAAACCACATCAGAAATTTCCACCATTTGTGCGAAAGGAAAACTTCGAGGTTTGTTGTTTCTGTATCAGATTGTTCCTAATGGTGAGACTGGTGATTACAAGTCTTATCCCATAACCTTAAAAATTTGTGCCCTGTTGCCATGAAATCCAAGGATATAAAGAGTCACTGTTGTGGTGTGTTTGTAGGGGCTCTGAAATGAGGAGAGCTGGGGGGCGCCCATCCAGGCATCCCCTTCCAACACTGCATCCTAGCATCAGGTTCTCTTTCCTGTTAATTTTAATGGAGTTTCAAGAACAGTACTCTTGATGTCTTAGCCTTGAAAGAGAATCTGACCAAGAAATTAATTGAGAAGGTTTTCCCAAGTGGCAGTGTGCATGTGCACTAGGAAAGAAAAATAGCTAAATCTGGTAGAAGCAAGTCCAAGCAAAAGACAATTCTATTAGGAAAAAATCCTGTAGGAGCAAAATCAGTTGGACTTTATACAGCTTCTTCTGCGGCATAAAACGTATACCATCACTTCAGTCTTTAAAAGGAGATTGGACTAAGCAGTACATGCATTGCATGCTCTGTGCATTGCAGGGCCACAGCTACATCAGCAGAACTGATGAGCTAATAGCTCTCTTCTCTTATGTTCAAGATTATGCATGACAAGATTTCAGTACTAGTCAACATCTATTTTCCTGTAACCAACAGAATTTTCAGAGTTCAGATTTGGTGTAAATTACAACCTGCTTGGGAGGAAAGCTGTGCATGATTCATGAAGTGATGATTATTACAGATCTAAAGGAAGAAGCATGGAGGAGAAAGGTTGCTTGTTGCAAATGAGTTAGGGACACGGACTTTCAAAAATATCAGAACAGAAGCACTTTAGAAAAATCTGCCCCTGTCTGACTGAAAGCTGAACTCTTTAAAGAAATTCTAACCCAGTTCCAAATGTTCAGCACTTGCAACAAAATCTGTCCCCAGCTCTCTACCTGCTGTAACTGGTGCCAGGAACATTTCTCCTAAAGATGTAATAATTTTCATGAATTTTCCAGCTTATCAAATATCAGAGCTCACATGTGAGAGGATTTTCACAGCACAATGTAAATGTTTTGGTGAAGCCCTCATTGTTTGAGGAATATTATTTTCAAATAATATTAACTAGTGCATTGTGAGCTGGACAGGTGGTACAATGCCTTTGTGCTTAATGCAAACTAATTTGAAACAAAGAGAAGATGGAGATCTGTTTGTTGTTTTATATTGCCTCTAAAGAAGACAGTTTCAAGTACTCAAATAAATAATGAATAGAAAACTGAGCAATTAATCTTACATGATCAATTCAGAGCTCGTAGATTGTAGAAACTCTGAATGTGTTGCTGAAAGTCTGCTCTTCACCTGTGAATTATTTTTGTCAAGGAATCCAGACCTAATTCACAACAATGTATTTCTGTAGAAACCATAAAACTCCTTTCATAAAGGTTTTGCTTTTTCTCTAATTCCTTTAAAATGTAACCAGTTTGGACTAGATACGATTTGACTAATTTGCATTCATTCTGGTATGAACCAAATTATGATGCCTTATGTATTCACAGTAGAGTCCTGTCTACAAAAGGTTTGTTTCAAGGATGAACTGGTGAGCCTTGGGGACTAAGAAGCCCTTTAAAATTGGGGTCAAGCCAGGCAGTTAGATTCAAAAATAAATAAATCCATTTGGAGACAAAGGCCTATTGTATACCAGCCTTCCAGGAAAACCCATGGGTGGCTGAGAATTACTTGGGAAAACAGTGGAAATTAATTCCGACCCATTCTCAGTTCTTTCTTCCACACTGAAAAGAGGGGTCTATGGAGGCAGAAAAACATTGGTGAATTCTCACAGGGTCAGGGAATACCTGGCATTGTAAATGCAGAGCTAGAAAACATTCACATTTCCTGTACCACTGAAAGAGAGAACCCACACCTTCCCTGCCTATGGCTCATTGAGAACCCGGGCCACCACCAGCTCCAGCTACAAGAGGGTGGTGTATACTTAGAAGGTACAGAGAGGAATAAAAATTGCAGTCAAAGCTTATGTGGCACAATAGCTCAAAGGAACCACTTCCCACTCTCTGTTCAAAAGGAAGAAAAAAACCCAAAAATACAACTAAACCCAAAAAAGAGTCCCCACTGTTCCTCATCATACATTGCTTTCTGTTACTAGGCAGGCACTGTCAAGCTGACATGTACAATTTATTAGAAATTAGAATTTTACTCAGAAATTTTGCATTCATATATATATATTAATCATTAGGCTAGATGGTTCTTTACATTTGTTCAAAAAAAGAAATATCATGCTGTATTATGGGCTTTTAAAGTGACAATTATAGAAAAACACTATTCTTTACTCTTAACTTTGCAATCATATGTTAATAATTATCACCACAAAAGCTAGTTCAATTCTTCCAAGTTATACAACCAACTAGACAGCAAAGACAGCTTTGAACCTTTGAACATCAGGTTTTTATTTACCATATTATCCTATTTTTAGGTCAAAACTTTACACATTTGCTGAAACCACTTTCTCTATGTCAGGCAGTTCTCCTGGTAAAACTCCTTCAGGTACCAAGCTGCTGAGGAGGAACAGTACAGTTTTGATTCAGTGCCAAACTAGAAATCCAGACATTCTTACAGAGAGTGAGGAAGACTCCCAGACTTGGCAAGGGAAGGAGACAGTGCCTCCTTTATGCCATGTTTTTTGCTCAGGAAGTGGAGTATTATATAGGGAATCATCAATTAACAGACACTTTGAAACCAGAGTCCACCTACTATTAAATAGCTCTGTTCTTGTTCTTCAGCCTCTGAAACACCTATCATCTATTATCAGGCAGCCTAAACTTGAACATCACTTGCAACAGTGTACAAACAGGATGATCACTGTTGTATGCCTTAACCTTAATTCTCAAACTTAGTTCAGATTCAATGCAACTCTCTGGAGAAGACCTTTGAATTGTGTTTGAAATACTGCATTCAAAAATCAAGGAAGCAGTCATCTCCTGCCACTAAATTTGAATGTCACTTTCCTGGAAATTTCCATAGTGCCATTTAGATGAACACAGAGGAGAATAACAGTGCATAACATACATCTACCTACCTTTGGCAGCACTCAGAGAAAGAGAAGCTGCAGCTCTATAGGTATGTTCTGGACTCCTCCTAGAAAAGAAAAAAAACCAGTGTTATAGAATACAATAATCTAATGCAGCTGTTAGGGGGGGAAAAACCCACAATAAAATGCTCTCTCAGTTAAAAATAAAAGAAACCACCACCCTGGGGTAAACAAGAAAATTGGACAATTATTTCTAGCCCATAGTTCAACTAGCCTTGTTAGCCTAGCTTCTTAAAGCTAAGAGTCACCATTTGTCTGTGAATTAGCTTTTATAAGACAAGATCCTCCTTGTCTATATGAAACCCAAGGCAACACCATTTGTGTTTATCACTCTGTAAAGAGAAGCAGTGCCAAAATTCTGCAACACCTACTTTAGCTGCTGAAATCCAGAGAACTGAATGTGCTGCTGTTAGCATTTGGAGACAGGAATATGTTTTGATCTAATACATCCTACACAGACTCACTCGGTGTCAAGAAGGTACCAGATTCCATAACAGGTTAAAATAGAGACAAATAGGAAAACACTCTGCATGCAACTTATGCAGAGTAACTTCTACTCATTATATTTGAATTTTTTCAAATATAGGTTCTAAACCTTCTAAAAATACTATGGAAGTCTGCAAATAGCTAAATTCTCCTAGCTTGTCACAAAAAACGACAACTTGATTGACATATATGAATGCTTTAATAATATTTTTTACTATGTTGTGTTTAATTCACAGTTATGTGAGAGGCAGGACTAGAACAGAAGTTCTCATATACAAAGAAATCTGCCTCAGAACTTTGGCTTTTACTACTTAGTCAGGTGCCTTCTTAAGCATTTGCCAAGGACACAGCCTGTGGATACCTATACGTGCAGACACAGTGAGTGTGCCACTGCTCCAGTGGAAGGTGTCCCTGCCCATGGTGAAGAATTCAGAACTAGGTGATCTTCAAGGTCCCCTACAACCAAACCATTCTAGGATTCTAAGATTTTCTAAGCTACTCGTCCTTTTTCAGACTTATATATGTGTTAATATATTCTTACGGGTACCCCAGTCAGTGAAGAATTTTTGCCTCCCTGCCACAATGTTGCTACAGGGAGTAAAATGCCCTTCAACTTTCCTATCTCTTCCTCCCTCTCAGAAAGCAACATGCCTCACAGCTTCCTGGCACCCAGAAGTAAGGACTGGGGCTAGGAACACCTCACCCTCTTCACTCTGTGTCCTCAGTTTCTGATCCTTGTTTTCCTCAAGAGTCAATAGATAAACCCTATCACTCTGGATAGTACAACCCACAGACATGCCATAACACTACTGGGCACACCAAGCAGGTATGACCTGGTACCACTGACACCCTCAAACCCCTTTCACCAGCACACATTTTGCCTGCATGCCTAGCCTGGCTCTCTGTCTTCCTGTGTCACTCAGTTCTTAATTTCTCACTTACTGTAAGTAAAGTGGGAAGAGTAATCCTGGTCTACCAAAATTGATGTGCTGGCCTCCCTGTAAAGGAACTCTAATAATGAAAAAAAGAGAGACACACTACCAATGGCAGAGCTGTATTTTCTATTTCTGTCCTATACTTACTCTAGTTCAGACCTATTCAACATCTATCTTGTGCTCTAATGCCAGTGCTGTTATGGAAAATACAGTTTCACCCCCACCCCATATTAATTTACGAGGGGCAAATGCTGGCTACAGGTTTCCTATAATGTGACAAACAGATTGTTTATCTGCACAAAAGCTTTTAAACTCAAGTCATGCCCTCCCCTCAGCCACACAAATAAATGGCTCTGGAAATAAAAACAAAACAGGACAAAAAAATTCAGACCTCTACAAAAAATAAAGTCCTGGATGGTTTTTGCTAGAATTTAGAGTCAAAGGCCCAGAAGAGTAAGCAAGACACATATGCCAATTCCAGCAGGAATTGCTTAAGGAAAATCATGGATTTTCCATGCACCACAAAATAGCCAAAAGCCCAAGTATAGTGGAGCAAATATTATTCTGAATAGCAGCAATGGATAAGTAACTATGACATGAACCATTCTCATCTAATGTTAATTCAGAGCAGCAAAGGAATGTTCTTTCCATTGGTCTGCAATGAAGGAGAAATTCTCTGAAAGTCCAATTAAGTTCAATCAGTAACACATGCTTCCTATGGATATCCCTGCAGATCAGACACACATTGCAACTACATTCCAAACAGCAGGAAAGGCGGCAGCAGCAGCAAAATGAAATTCTGCTTTTAAACTGATTTACAGTTTGAAAAAACAGTATCCAGGATGCCACCCATTCCCTGCAACAGGATCTGGTGAGGGTAAAACATGCAGAGATTTCCCTTCTGGCAAGTGCAATAGTCTTTTTGGTTAGGTGGCAATCATGCAGCTTCCAAACAGCTTGAATAAGATGACAGTGCAGTATCCAAATCATTAACTTTTAAATTAAGGAGTATGCAAAATGGGGCTCAAGCAGATTTTCTAAATTACTTAAAAATGTGAACTGTTTGGATATCTAGGTTGAAGCAATAAAAATACATATCATAAATACCATCACTAAAGAGGATCTAATACTGAAAGTTATGGAGGTAGGAGGAGATATTCTGGGCAACCTTCCCTGCATCTCATGAAGAAATCTCATTCATAACTATCAAATCATCCTTTGCTGTACTTCCCAATTACTGTTCACTGTGAGCATTTCACTTTTCCCTTGTGCACTGTTCAACCTCCCAGATGATCCCTGTTAAGTATTCAAGAATAAACCAGGTAGAAGACCTGGCAAAGAGAATGTATCTGACAAAGCTGGATAAGACATGATGAGAGCCCTGGAATAATCTCCAGAATTTTATGGAGCTGAACTCCATAGCTCAAATGCGCTACCAAACATGATCCACGTTTAAAAGAAACAAACAAAACCAACCCCCCTTTCCACACACACACACTATACAGAATCACATACTTATTAGAAAACAAAGAGCATGTTTATCAATCCTCCTATCCACAAGAGTCTAACACAGGGCTAATTCTTGCCTGCAAAAAGTAGTTTGGCACATCAAAGGATGACTGCTGTACCACTTGAAATAACGTGATGGCTGTCATTCTCCACACACTGCCTGTGAAGGACACACGTGCCTGGCTCTGCAGTGTACGTGACACATCAGAGTCAGCAGCCACGTCTGTAAAACCTGAGTGCTGTGGAGAAGGGAGGAAGGAGACAGAACAGAGCAGGGTCACTGCCTCTGTCATTTTGGAGCACTTGTACTTTTTCATCACAAATCAATCCCTGTGCAAGGTACTGAAGGTTTTACAGCATACAATGAGAATAAATAACTTTTCCTAATTTAATCACTAACTTTCAATGCCTTTTTAAACAAAAAGCTAGGAAGAGCATCAAGGCACATAGCAAGAACTGTTGCTGTTGAAAGGTCTTAAAACAAACGTGAATATGCCTTTGGAAAAAATTACTTATGTAATGAAAAGAACAAGCAAAGATCCCTAAAGGAAGCTGAAGGGACACTTTTTCCTCCTCCTCCTCTAGCCTTATGAGAACTGTAATCTTAACAACCATAACTGTTCAAAAGTGGGTGTAGGACGATAGGGGAAAGAAAGGATAGCATTGTTTATAGTACAGCAGGAGCCAAATGAGGAGAATAACTTCTGTGCAAGAACGGAAGAGTGAAAGGAAATGGGTAGGTAAAGACAATTGTAGGATTTGTACAGTACAGAAGAGAATCCCTTCCATGTAGGATGCAATTTCTTCCATGGAAAAGATGTTTCATCCATGGAGCTAGCTGATGTAACTCCTCTGGAATAGTAACCTTTCAATGCTTATCTGTAGCTCTGTTACTAGACAGGTTGTGGTTCTTATAATTAGCACTTTATCAGCTAAAAAGTCAAAACATTCCTTGCATCAATGTATTTAGTCTTACATCACCTTAATGAGATAGGTGTCAATTAAGACTGAAAGGAGTGTCTGGTATGAATCATAAATACTTTAAAGGGTTCTCAAAGTATGAATAATCAACACTTTCTGAAAATAAACTTCCTGGAATAAGCTTCAGGGTCACTTCACATCAGCAAGCCTTTCTGATACCCTGGCCATTCCCCCTCTTTTACAGCTAACAAGATGGAGGTGCATAAAGGCACCAGACAGCTTCTTTAAAGGAATCATATATGTACAAACCTAAAAGGAGGGACTTGTTTTTTCACCAGTTGTCAAGTACTTCAGACCTCACTAGGAAAATTCCACCTGCAGAATGCTATACAACTGTTTGAAAAGCCATTGAAAGGCATCTAATAAATCCCACAGGATTCAGAACAATGCCTCCTAAAGCCCCATTGCACTCATCTAGCACTCGCACAAGCTTCTCTACGGACAGATTAAGCAAAGTGGTCTGCTTGTTGACCTGCATAAGTATGACATTAAGTACTCAGTCCACAACTGTGAAAATACTTTCTTAACTGAATTGTGTCAGGACAAGAAATACGTGCAGAGCCCATATTTTCTGACTAATAGTATTATTTTACCACAATTACTTCTATGTGGACTCCTTCTCTACAGCACCAGAGGAGTCCAACCAGCTGCTATTCATACATGTTTTTCTGTGAACTGCTTCAAGGATGACCATGAAGAAAAGAAAGTCTGCTTTCAACAGATTTAAGTCAGACAGGGAGCGATCCGCCACTAACAAAAACGCCTAAAGAATCACACACAGAAAAGTGTTGGAAAACAATTATTTAAAATTGTGGTATGTTAATTGTTGTCCTGGAAATAATTTCTTGAAGGTTCTTTACACAGTCTAAACAGTCACACTACTATATGATGCTCTCAGATTAACAGCTAAATCATCTGAAAACACATGTTGCAGCAAAGCAAAAACACACCAAAACAAAGTGAATAAAGATCCCCAGGATTTGATGGAGCTGTGATAAACATTCAAAAGGAACACATTTCACCATTAAACTTCTTCACGTTATTTCCAACTGATTTTTGACACTAGAACTGTCTTTTAATAGATGCGAAAGAGATAAATATCTTATTACCAAAAATAAATTTGTCTGTTAAGG